ATTCGCATCTTCTTTCGTTGTATAAAATGATAGCAATGCTATGAACCTTTCCCACATTTTTTTTTATCACAATGCACAACATTTGTATTTACGACTAGTAACCTTTTTTTTTTAAAGTCTGCATTTTCTTTAATTGTTTAACTAAAAAATGGCACTGAACAAAAAAATGGCGCAGATAAATTGATGACTAGGGCCTACATTGTAGTCTGTCATTGAGTCAACTGGTGTGGTTTCAAATGATTGAAATAAAATTGAAACGTGTGTTAGTCCCGAAATGACCTAGTTTGTGTTGGGTGGACATTAAACCCCATCTCTCTCTCAATTTCTCTTTCTCTCGAACCCGTTTTTAAAAATTATAAATCCACTCCTCAAATTATACCAATAACTGGGCTTGTTTATAATTATGTGGGGTATTAAATATAATAACTGATAAATTTATTGTATAAAAACTCCCACACAAAAAACACAGAGAACCGGAAACGAGAGATTCGGGAATTCTGAAGTCAAACATCCTTTTTTTTGAGATCTATATATAGATAGTCAAACACCATTTAAAGTCGGGGGTTGGATGGCCGAATGGTTAGCACGTGCGCGCTGTATCATAAGGTACTCTGTCATTGAGTCAACTGGCGTGGTTTCGATTCCCCAGTTGTACGTGACAAGTAGTAGGGTCGCCTGTCCAACCTCGTGGGTTTTCTCCAGGTTCTCCGGTTTCCTCCTACTGCTAAAGACCCCTACGTGCAAGCGAATTATTGAAATAAAATTGAACCATATGTTAGTCCCGAAATGACCTATTTTGTGTCGAGAAGACGTTAAACCACATCTCTCTCTCTCTCTCCCTCTCTCTCTCTCTCCATTTAAAGTCGTATTGGAATATATTTTATTATATCAAAAGGTGTGTAAGAGACAGCAGAAAATAACGTACATAGCATGGCTACAGAACAAGCAGAAGTAAAACAATAGGAACAATAAATAAACCCAAACATGCCCCCCCCCCCTCTCAACCGCCAGGTCCGTAACCAGGGGGGCGGGGCGCATAAGGGGGTGGGGTGGGGCAAAAGGTTTCGCTCAGCCCCTGTGAAAAAATTGTCGACCATAGATATACATTGTCCGTCAATTTTACAGCACCCCTGAGAACACTTCCCGCCCTCCTCGTTGCTCTGAGCTAGTTACAGTCCTGCCCCCCCCCCCCCCCCACACACACGCACACAAAACCAACCCGACCCCAAATAAAATAGCATGACATAAAAAGGATTGCGGATTGCGAAGAGTATTGTGGTACCGTGTATAGTAAACTTTGTAATTATTTATTAATATTTATAGGCCTAATTTTTTATATTAACTGTAGGCCTATTCCCGTTATCATTTCATTTTGATAGTAGGCCTAACTTCTTGCATGACTATTTAATTTTAGTTTTTCATCTTTGTGTGTTATCATTATTATGATCGTCAAAAGTTTGGATACAGTGAAGTCTATTATGTTTATTAAAAGCCGGTCTGTATGACATCAGTTTAAATAATGGCGGAACCAGCAGGGAGTATTCTCTATAACCTGTTACCGTGGGTTACACGTCAAACGTCGTGATCTCGTTCCATTTTAATGATACAAGACAACAAACGGTTTCCTTCAACTAGACTTGTCAATGATAGACTAATATGGTGTCCTGCGGGGTTCCATTTCATCACGATGGCTACCTCTAACAATGGTCTAATTTAGTGCCAATCAACAAGGCATGGCCTATAATAATTTATGAGTTTGTCCCAGGTTAACGATATCGAGGTAATGGAATTAACAGACCACGTGGCTAATATAAACCGTCTGGATTATAAATTACGTGGCTACAGTTACTATCTTTTAGTCGTTTTATTACCCTGTAATAAAATGTCCCCTGGATCATATTTCATTTGGTCCACGAATCCAATGAAAACAAATAAATGACAAACGTTATAACTTATTGCATTCTCTGTAAATTCTCTACCGGTAACTGAAGAATAATGGTAAAATTCTAAAGTTAATGACATCGATATTAACTCGTCATAATCAACCAATGTATTCATCCTATCCCATTAACGATAGATTATGCAATAGCTCAAAAATAGATACGGTAATGTAAAATGAAAATATTGAAAATTTCATTCAAATTACTTCATTCTGAGCCAAGTTATCACTGCTTGTGGTTTTGGCAAGATGTGTGAATTATTGTGGTAACCAGAGAACTGGTCTATTCGAGATAAGCTTTAAATGGCGAACCGTTATAATCTAGTTAAAATCTCGAGTAACCGATGACATCGAGAGTTGATTATGGTCTCGTTTTGTTAATAAAAGTCTCATTAATAATTTAGATAACATTAATTCAGGCCTAAAGAAAGACCTGCAATAGGCATATTGAGCTCTTGCATAATGTTTGTTTAAGATAAAGATTAAACAATGTATGGTATGAAATGAAATGAAATAGAGTTTAACGTCCTACTTTTTTGCAATGACTGGGATAATGAAGGCAGAATGCAGAAATTTAGGATTTGTCAGGCAAAATCCCTCTGGTATGTGTGGCACAGATTTGTCTTCTTTCTGCGGAGGGGGGGGGGGGGGCAACCGCGCGCTTTAAAAGAATGTTTGTCATCGAGTCAACTGTAATTGTTGTATGCTGCTCCTCGTGGGCGTTTTTATGCAATAAATTTACTTACTTACTTACTTACTTACTGACGTGGTTTAGATTCCCCGGTTGTATGTGACAACGAGTAGGATCGCCTGTCCAACCCCGTGGGTTTTCTCCGGGTCCTCCGGACCCCCCCCCCCCCCCCACTGCTAAAGACTCCTACGCGCAAGCGAATTATTGAAATAAAATTGAAGCATATGTTAGTCTCGAAATGACCTAGTTTGTGTCGAGAGGACGTTAAACCCCATCTCTCTCTCTCTCTGTCTTCTTTCTGTCTGTTTAAAGATGTTCGACCCAATAGGAAATGAAATGAAATGGGGTTTAGCGTCCTATACTGCTCTGCTCTGACTGGGATAGGCCTAACGAAGACGGGGATACGCCATATACAGTGTGCTATGACAGAAAATTTATCATGGGTTCATTTACATGTATGTGTTGGCCAACACAGGACATCGTTTTTCGTCCCATCCGAATAACTAGATACTCTTCATTGTCAGACACCGCGCCCTGCAACACTGACAATGCCCAGAAGCACACTATTTAAAAGAAAATACGTGTAGGGCCTATATATTTTGGTCCATAACTTATTGAAATTGATCAATACTAACTTACTCTGTGTCTTTTGTGTAGTTTGCGCCTTGTTCGCGGGGTTGTCTTATCGGTTTTGTCTGCATGTTGGGCGGTCCCCTTGCAATTAGGCTACTGTTAAGTTTAGTCTATTTGAAGTTTACACTAGTTTCTATATTGATTTCACGACACCACCTTGTGTTTTAGACAGATATCGTAATAACAATTGTGACATATTTTTCTAAGTCAGACCATTCTACACTTGGAGGGGTTCGGATAGGCAAATCACTTCAACAACAGTCTTTAAATTAATAGGTCTACTACACATTTTGGACTTATGAAATATACGTAAACAGTCTTGCTTGATTACATCTTACTCTCATAGGCGTACGGGCTCGATGACAGCTGGGGGGGGGGGGCAGAACGCGATATGCCCGAAAAAAATTTCGGGTTTATAGAGAGCGCCTGTCTTCCTTGAGAGGCGAAGAGAGCGGAGCTTACCTTGCCCCCCACCCCCTCAGGTGGCTGACTCGAATTCCAATCAATCGTTTACAGTTCACGAAGACGGGACCGTTGGGAGAAATGTTTGAAAATTTAACTGCCACAAACGCGTTTTCCTGCTATTCCAGCCTGTGAATACAACAACTTCAATTTGGTCCAATATAGCCTACCTGGCTGACCGGAATTCCAAACAACCAATCAATCGTCGCTGGGTTCGGGGGTATACCCTCCCGGGGAATGCGTTTTCTGCTATTCTAGCACGTGTAAACTCCAAAAGTATCCAATGGTTTTGTAACCGAAATCCCACTCTGAATTCCAACCATCCAATCAGACTGTTGCAGCTGCATTCACAAATAATAATCGATGCCCGAAAAATGTCGCACAAAGTAGAGTGACTCCAGGCAACATTTTTTAATCCATAATCAACTCTGTACCAATTCGTGGCATTCAATTAAAAGAAAAGTAAAATTAGTGTTATATTAGGGCTCGCAAAACTAGAAATGTCCGAAAAAAATACGGGTTTACAGACAGCGGCGCCGGTTTTCTTCGAGAGGCGAAGAAGCGGAACTGACCTTGTATGGACCCTGCAAGAAAATTTTGGAATATTGGACAGCCGCAAACGCGTTTTCCTGCTATTCCGGCCCGTAAAATTAGTGTTTTATTAGATTTCGGGCACTTTATTTTGCCAAGTAGATGAAATAGATTTTGGTTTTCACTTGACCCGTCTGCCCGAAAAGTCAGCTTGCCCGAAAGTTAGGGGGGCTCTGCCCCCCCCCCCTGCCCCCCTGGCTCGTACGCCTATGAAGTTACTCTCTTAATAAAAACAATTCGACTTTGGTTAGTGTGTAGGCTACTTAAGCCTATCCATAGCCTACTCCCCATTAGGCCCCAGGCCTACCCTCACTTGATAGCAAGATACGCTTTTACTGAGTTTTTCAATATTTCTCTGATAAAAGGCACAAGTCTTTGGTTTTGAATCTATTAATTTCATTTACACAATGAGAGGCTTATATTCTGATTTATTTTTCAGAAAATGAACAATAGCCTATATAAAGACTTTTTGAAAGAAACCTATCCTATTTTCCCGCCAAAAAGTAAGACACGTGTTTTTTACGACATGAAATAGAACTCGATAACAATTAATTTTATTTTACGCGCGAGTCAGAGATTTTATTATAACTTGTTTCAGTGTCATGAAGTATAGAATATTGCGAAATAAAACTGATTTTAACATCTAAAATATTTACGACATTATATCACGTGATGTAAACATATCGTAAACCAGTCGAACCAAAATGTCAAGCACTATTTCAAATCGTGAGTATTTACTTCTTGTTTCAATATTTATTTCGCCATAAATATCTACTGACTTTAATGATCAGCGCTTGCAAATAATCCTTGCTTTGATTATTTCTAATTTCTGGATATTTAGAAACTTTACTACACTGTATATTGGACGGAATCTGATCGAGAAATGATGAAAATGGAGAAAGCTTTCTGCAAAACAAGTCCATTCTTGAAGTTTATTTTGATTTTTACCACAATCTGGACAAAAACCTACATTTAAATTATTAATGACTGACGATTATTCTAATAATGTAATCCATATCAGACGTCTCCATCTCAATAAAAATGTGTTCTTATATGAATTATCGACTGAATTTAAATAAAAATAGATCTACTCACTGTCAGTACTGTCACTGACATTGATGGGGACATAACATTCAACATTGATGGATTGAATGAATGATCATTGTATCCTATTTCATACTTTTCCCACTCAACAGATCTATGCCAAAGTTTTCTCCAAAATGCCATGGGTAAAAATTTACAGGGTAGATCTGTATGTCAAATTTCAGTTTATCTGACAACCAGAACCATAGGCCTACAATCTGATTAAAATACAGATCTATATTCTATAACTACATGCAAATACAAGCAAATATCATTGAATACGGTCATTGAATACAACCATTGAATAACCTATGGTTGTATTCAATGGCCATTGGATAACCTATAGTTGTATTCAATGGCTTGAAAATGTACTACTTTTGTCCAGAATGACGTCACTTACAGAACTACGTCAATCTGTAATGACGTCACAACTAGGCAACCACAATTTTTGTAAAAAAGAGCAGAACCTATGATGAATTTTAACGTTAATGATGATGATTTTTTATGATAATCTAGATAGTACAGTGTATTTTGAGATTTGCATGTAGTTATAGAATAAAAACAGAACTCAATGACCATTGAATACCGCTCAGGTTATTCAATGGTTCACTCAAGTGTATCCCTGCCGCATTCCATTCGCTATCGCTTGTGGAATACTTGCGCAGGGATACACTCGAGTGAACCATTGAATAACCCGAGCGGTATTCAATGGTCATTAAGTTCTATCTATATATTTCGTTTCGTTTTTTTATACTTTAGATGGCCTACACTACATGAAGATCTGACAAATTATAGCAATAGGTCACGTCGGGTGTCAAAAGACCGACTTTTGACCTTATGATGTCAGACATATGATTAACCAATCAGCATCGATGTTACTAGTTGATTACCCACAGTTCCGTGCAAAACACGTCGAAAGCTCGCCGTAACAGACCGTTTCATTGGCTTATCCCCAAACAGGCCTCGAAATGTTTAAAAAAAGCTACCTGTCGCAAGCGACAGGTAGCTTTTTTCATACCTGTCGCTTCAGTAAATAACCTGTCACTCTCAATTATCAAACTCAAAGAATAATCACATCACACATATCCATACATGTAGGTACACACATACGTGGTTAGGTCTTTGACGTACATTGCTCTATATAAATATCGTAAATATGAAACCTTTTTATTTCTTCAACATCGGAATGCCTAAAAGTTCTTGAAAGTCAGTGAGTCTGCTTTGGCTCGGCGATTCAAAGATTCGTACAATTTTATCACCCGTATCCACGTGAATTCCGCAAAGTATCATGGTACCACACTTCCGTACTAAATCGAATACTTCACTGTTGAGTTGTAGAATTCAGATTTTAAAATATCCGTAATAAATTGAATATCAAAACACAAATCACACCTGTGCATGGCACCGTATTTACATGTACCTCGTGCGAAGGACAGATAATGCCACCTGGAATTCCCTTCTCACATATCCGGACTATTTTTACGTTACAAATTATATTTATATATGAAATATTTTTCCGACCTGATTTTTTGATTTTGTCAAATTGTCTTATAAATTTTTCATAGCCTTTATTTTTGGAAATTGTTTAAAACTTTTTAAATGATTAAATACACCAAGCAACGAGCCGTGTGCATTTCCATTCCAACCACTACTATATTTACTGTGGTGTCGTTACGGTAGGATTATTTCAGGTGACTTGGGGGTGCGTTTTAATTTATTTAGATATAATACTCCATAATGCTATAAACTAGTGTCAAGCAGATCAAAACAAGCGTATGGTGTGAAATTCATTGATATAAAATTGTCTACTTCCAAACTGTGTGAGTAACTGTAGCCTACGACAGAGCGAAATGTAATTGTAAACAGTGCAAATGGCGGCTTTTCGCGGTATTTCCGTGCTTAATTCTTGCATTTAGAAATGAATAATTAAATGTACGTGACGTGGACATGAGTATTGTGGTCAATTTACTGAACATCAAGTAAAATCATTTAGAAACGAATAATTAAATGTACGTGATGTGGACGTGAGTATTGTGGTCAATTTACTGAACATCAAGTAAAATTTAGTCCACCTGTCGCAAGCGACAGGTAGTTTTATTTGCTACCTGTCAGACGAAAAAATCGCCTGACGGCAACAAGTAGACAGGCGAACATTTCGAGCCATGCCAAAACTATTCAGAACACGAGTTAAATTACAACTCTTCCAGATCCTAGTGTAGTAAAGACATGTAAAACAAAATTTTGAACTATAGAAACGAAACGAAATAAGATCTGTGTTTTAACCAGATTGATACGCCTACACATTATTATAAAATATTTCCTTTTTCTGGTAATTAATTACACTGTATTTTTAAGAAAAAGAAAGAAAATCTTGTAAAAACTCACACCAGGTTTTCAATTATCAAATTAGCCATACAACAGATCTGGAAAATCTGCAAAGTCTATATTAATTTTGTACACTGTTTTTTAATTTTTGAGTTCTAAATTTAAAAATAAAATGTTACATTTTTATGGTAGGCTACCATAATATAAGATAAGTAAAAAGATCTTGTTTTTCAGATGTTATAATTTGAACGAGAAGTTGTTTTACTCAATATTAGTTATGTGATCATGCCTGACTCCGTAGAAAGATGACATCTATTAGTATGATTTCTGAACGAGGTATGTTAACAAATTTATAGTAAATAAAATATCAAAACATTGGTAAATTACGACCTACTCTTATATCTAATTCCAACTGCCAAGGGATCTTTTACATGCACGCCCCCCGTCTTGCACCACTGACAAGGAGAAACCATGCCTGAAAATCCCGATGAACTGTCTCGGTCAACACTGGGAGCAAAACTCCTATCTACTGTGGCTCCCAGATGCAAAAGATCAAAATGTCAGGAACTAGTTCAGTTGTGCAACATATTTTGTCAGGTTGATCTAAAATCATTATTTTCAGACTTAGATGTTAGAAATATGCTTACTGTGTAAAGTTTCATGTTAATATAGTCATATTTCCTGAAAATATTTTTAAATTTAACTCCCATACAATTCAAAGTTTCCGGCTGCATTTTTTAAAAAAATTATTAGTTAACTCCTAATTGAGTGCTTTGTTTTTATTTTTAATTATTATCTATTTCAGATCCAGATTCAAGTCCGATTTTGACCCAGAATAAGAATCTACAGGCAGAACTTCTGCAGTGTCAAGTGAGTAATATTCAGTGATTTTGTAGACTCAGCATGAAACAAGGTTTTAAAAAAAAGTCAAGCAATGAGAGAACTGGACTGTTGACTGTACAGAACAAACTCCCTAGAAAATACACAAGATATGATTTTGTTGAATGCAATTATTGTTCATTACTGACTCTGTGACGTTTCATTTGCTTGATAATAACTAGAGAAGCCCAGTCGAAATGTCGCTCAGTAATAAGCAGTAATTGTATTCAACAGAATTGTCACCTGTGTACTTCCAGTTCAAATACGAAATAAATGTCACTTTAAAGATACATTATGGAAGATTAGATGAAATGAAATGGGGTTTAACATCCTACTGTTCTGCTCCGAACTGGGCTAATGAAGACAGGGGGAAGATCAGATAAAGAGCTGGCAGTTCTCACTATAATAGTTAAAAACTAGATGATGTAAATGAAATATGCTGAAATTGCTTTACTCTTAAGTCGAGATAAGCTTATTTTAAAAACACTATAGCCTCGATTTTCATTGTGACCGCAGTCATGATAATTAACAAAGTCTCAATTATCCATTTTTGCGTTTAATCATCAACAGACGTTTAACAGCGGATCGGATTCAAATCCAGTGAATATCTGACACATATAAGATGGCATCGAGAGTTGATTATGATCTTTTCATGTTAATAAAAATCTAATTAATAGTTTATATAACATTTCAGGCCTAAAGAAAGACCTGCAATAGGCAGATTTACCTCTTGCATAATGCATGTTTAAAAAATTTATTTTTTTGGGAAAGTGTACACAGTTGTTGGAATGAGACAGAAAAATCGAAGTACTTCTGTCTACACATTGTCGTACATGTTAAAGAATCCCTTACATGTTAGTCTCAAAATAACCCAAGTAAAGGGATTTCTTTTATTTCCAGGCGGATAAGGAATTTGTTTGGTCACTATGGAAACGTTTACAGGTCTCCAATCCTGATGTAACAGAAGCTATTTCCATAGCCATACAAAGGTGAGAAAAATTACAAATAAATTAATTGATTACTTTGTTTAACCCCAGCCAAAGTTTTATTTTTTATTCTTAAAGGTATAAGGGGGGTCGGATGGCCGAATAGTTAGCACATGCGCGCTGTATCATAAGGTCTGTCATTGAGTCAGCTGGCATGGTTTTGATTCCCCAATTGTATGTGACAAAGAGTAGGGTCGCCTGTCCAGCCTCGTGGGTTTTCTCCGGGTCCTCCGGTTTCCTCCCACTGCTAAAGACAGCTACGCACAAGCGAAATATTGTTATAAAATTGACCATATATTAGGTCATTTCGAGTGGACGTTACACCCCATCTCTCTCTCTCTCTCTCTCTCTCTTAAAGGTATATATTTGTATTATGTTAAATAATTTTATATATTGCTAAATTCATATTCCATCTTACTAGTCATAAATAAATGGCATTGTACACCATCAATTCGGTTGTTTTGGGGGTTTTTTTTGCTGGGGAAATGGTATTAGACATTAGTATAGAATGGGGCACACATAAAATTTTGCTTTTCATTACTTGAAATTTACAATCAATATCAATGAAAAGGTAAGCAGTATATGATGTTGCCCAATATAAATAAAGGTAAGCGGTAATTGCCGCTAATGTTATGTGCATAACATGCTTCGAAAAGGGGATCAAGTGGCTAATTGGGTAAGACGCTGGCTCGCTAGCCTGGAGGTCGGGCGTTCGATCCCTGCATTGGCCGAGAAAGTACATTCAGATTGTTAGTGATGCAGGATGGAGGGCCTGACAAAGACAGCTGTCTAGTCGTTCGGATGGGACGGAAAACCGAGATCCCGTGAACACATTGATGTGCACGTAAAAGATCCCTTGGCAGTTGGAATTCGATATAAGAGTAGGCCGTAGCGCCGCTGCCCGGGCAAAATTTCCCTCATAGCACACTGTATGGCTTATGCCCGTCTTCATTAGCCCAGGTTAGGAGCAGAACAGTAGGACATTAAACCCCATTTCATTTCATTTTATTTCATTTTCCCAGAGAAAATAAAAATTAATCTCAGACGGGTTTGTAATGATATTGTAAGCCTGTCTTTCTAATGTTTCTGATTACATTACATGGTTCTGTGGAGTACAATTACCCAGTACCGTTTTATTATTGGCTGATGTTTAAAATTTATGTAGCAAATGCAACCATGCAATCAGCTGGGTATTCCTGGGCCGGTGGTGGTTTGTGATTTGAGGGGATTTGCTCCACCATCCACCTCTATCTGTCTGTCCGTCACACTTTTTGGGACACAATAACTCTCTTTCTAATTGAGCTACAATGTTCAAACTTGGTGTAGGTGTTTATTAGGTCAATGCCTTAATGGAGTTTGAAGATGAGCATTCTCAGCTTAGGGTAAGCAGAGATAAGTAATTTGATTGGTTGATGCTTTGGGACACGATAACTTTAGTTTTAATTAAGTGAGAGTGATGAAACTTTGGTGTATAGTTTCATTACATCAATACCTTGACTAAGTTCGATAATGAGCATTTTCTGCTCGGGGTAAGCAGATCGATAAGCAATTGGATTGGTCAAGACTTTGGAACACAATAACTCTCCTTCTAATTGAGCTAGAATGTTTAAACTTTGTGTATGTGTTTATTAGGTCAATGCCTTGATGGAGTTCAAAGATGAGCATTTTCTGCTTAGTGTAAGCAGAGATAAGCAATTTGATTGTTTGATGCTTTGGGACACAATAACTTTAGTTCTAATTAAGTGAGGGTGATGAAACTTGGTGTATAGTTTCATTACATCAATACCTTGACTAAGTTCGATGATGAGAAATTTCTGCTTAGACTAAGGAGCGATAAGCAATTTGATTGTTCGTGACGCTGGAACACAATAACTCTCATTCTAATTGATGTAGAATGTTCAAACTTGGTGTAGGCTTTCATTAGGTGAATGCCTTGATGGAGTTCGATGATGAACATTGTATGCTTACGGTTAGCAGATATAAGCAATCTGATTGGTTGATGCTTTGGGGCACGATGACTTTGGTAACAATGAAGTGAGAGCAATGAAACTCTGAATATAGATTCATTATATCATTACCTTGACTAAGTTCGATGATGAGAATTTTCTGCTTAGGCTAAGGAGCGATAAGCAATTTGATTGGTCAAGACTTTGGAACATAACAACTCTGCTTTTAATTGAGGTAGAATGTTTAAACTTGATGTAGATGTACATTAGGTGAATGTCTTCACGGAGTTCAATGATTAACATTTCGAGCTGAAACTAAGCAGAGCTAATCAGTTTCATTGGTCGATGCTTTGGGACAAGATAATCTTGATTCTATTTGATAGAGAGTTTCGAAACTTAGTGTATAGTTTGATTGCTCGATACTTTTGAAAAAAATAATTGTGCTATGAATTAATATGTGTCATCTATTTATTTTGGGATTTCGGCGGGGGACATCAGCCTCGCTGTTGGCTTGGTTAATAAAGGTATTCTGTGAGATTTGCATTAAAATGCAACAAAAAAAAATAATTCGAGTCTAAAACCTAAGAGCTGGTAGACAAATCCAGCATGTTCATCAGCGTCAATAGGGTGTGGTCACAAAATCTTTCCTGTCATCTATATGCGCCCCGACATACACACAGTTCTCAGCTGGTAAATATCCCTCTTACTGTTGGAGCGTGTAAACGACAATAAAAACACCTTAATTAATAATGAACAGAGATGTATCATTAAAGATACATTATGTAAGATTTAGATAAAGAGCTAGAAATAATAGATAATGTAAAAGAAATAATTTGAAAATTTCATTCAAATTACTCCATAGCGAGCAAAGATATTAGCCCTTGAAGGTTTGACAAGACGTGTGCAATAATTTCAACCACCGTACTGGTTGTTCAAAGCTAAGTCTCACTCCGTCATTTTTAAATTAAATCAAAACATGTCTGAATCGTTCAAATATATTTAATATCTGAGTTCTTGCATAATGTATGTTTAATTACCTTTTTCAAGGTGGCCTTATGAATAACTTTGCTGGAGATGATGAAAGTTAGACATGATAACACTGGGCATTATAAGAGTAAATATTGCGAATTGTTGACAGCCATTTAATCAAATTCTAATTAAACCATTTAAAGCCCCAACATTCCAAAATCAAGGTTAAATTGATGACAGCCATTTAATCAACTTGGAATGAAACAGTTTAAAACCCCAACATGTCAGAATAAATATTCAATACAACAATTAAAGCCCCTATGTCTGAATAGAGGTTAAATACGACAATTGTGGTCCCTGAATGTTGGTTTTCGTACCATGTCAGACCCTTTTAACGTCCACTCAACACAAACCAGGTCATTTCAAGACTAACATGATTCGATTTTATTCCAATAATTCTCTTGCACGTAGGGGTCTATGGCAGTGGGAGGAAACAGAGGACCCAGAGAAAACCCACGAGGTTGGAAACAGGCGACCCTACTCCTTGTCACATACTACTGGGGAATTGAAACCACGCCAGTTGACTCAATGACAAACCTTATGATACAACGCGCACATGCTAACCATTCAGCAATCCAATCCAACCCCCTTGGCAGTTAGAATTGTAATAAGAATAGAGGGTAATCCATTTACAATAGAAGAAGGACCATCTGTTAGTCCCATCTTGTGGATGAGATGTTGAACCCCATCCAATATAATTGGTATTGGAATTTAAAGATCCCTTGGCAGTTGTAAGAAGAATAGTGGGAAATCCATATAACCATGGGAACAACGGTTGTTCGATCCCTTCATTGGCCAAGAAAGTTCATCCAGATTTTCCGGCATAGTTCCTCCTTGTCAGTGATGCAGGACCGAGGACCTCATAAGGACAGCTGTCTAGTCGTTCGGATGGGACAAAAAACCGAGGTCCCATGTACACATTGTCATGCATGTTACGTAAAAGATCCCTCATCATAGCACACTGTATGGCGTATGCCCGCCTTCATTAGCCCAGTTCGGTGCAGAAAAGTATGATGTTAAATCCCATTTCATTTTCATGTAACCATAGGAAAAAGACCATCTGTTAGTCCCGTCTTGTGGACGAGATGTTGAACCGTAACCAATATAATTAAACCTGGCCTATATTTGACTGTGAATCAGAATATATTGGTGTATTATTTACGATGATAAAAATGACAAAATATTGAAAAGTGCGAAGAAAAGATGGTTGTATATCCATGAAGTATTTGCTATGGTGATGTGTGCGAGACTTGTTAGCTATTTGTCAGTCATTACTCACAATAAGATGTGACGGATCTAATGAAATAAATTCTGATATATCACTAGAGACTCCATACCCAGTTGACACACAAGTGGCACGGACATAAATCATGCAATCCAATCATATTGCATTTAGCATTACTAGTTGTTAATACAGAGACATTTATTGATTGGGCGGTCGACAATTCATTTGGGACATTGGCATTGGCGTCACTGAAACCGTCGCGTTCCTTTAAATATATCCTTATCATGTTCGATATAACAATATAATTATGTTTGCCTCTTTACGGTGACTGAAATGCCGCAGGGGAATACGGTCATTAACTAATTTTAAATGATTTAATTATGTAGGACGATTTGTTTGTAATTATTGATGGTGTTGAGGGTTGGACATAGAATAATATATATATTTATTACTCATGTCAACTAGAATTATTTAGCAATGTGAACAGCTTAAAAAGATGAGAGGTGGTATGAAGTGTTCTGAGTAATAAATTAAGACAATCTGATTAAGACACAGATCCTATTTCGTTTCGTTTTTTATAGTTCAAAATTTACTTTTACTTGTCTTCACTACACTAGGATCAGGAAGAGTTGTTATATAAGCCACGTTTTGGTTAATAAGAGGGATTAGCCAATGAAGTGGTCTTTTACGGCGTGTTCTTGGCATACTGTGCATTGAACTGTGGGTAAACCACTAGAAACGTCAACGCTAGTTGATTAATCATTGTCTGACGTCATAGGGTCAAAAGTGCTCGTATGACCTCTGACGCAACCTATCTTCATGTAGTAGAGGCCATCGAAAGTATAAAAAAACGAAACGAAATATAGATCTGTATTTTAATCAGACTGAAATTAAGAAAATAAAATCCAAATATCACTTGTAGATGAATTCTCGACTTGGATGCTGTCAGATTAAAAAAAAAATCTATCACATTTTTTTTACCATATCCCAATATTTAGTCTGTGTATGAGAGAGAGAAATGGGGTTAAACGTCCACTCGACACAAACTATGTCATTTCAGGACCAACACATGATTCAATTTTATTTCAATAATTCGCTTGCGCGTAGGGGTCTTTAGCAGTGGGAGGAAACCGAGGGATCCGGTGAAAACCCACAAGGCTGGACAGCTATCATAGATTGCTATCATGGAGTTGAAAACATTCGTCTTATATACCGTATCAACTTATATATGGATGGAGGTCGGAAAAATATAACGATTCGACTTATACTTGTAAGGCTGGACAGCTATCATAGATTACTATCAAGGAGTTGAAAACATTCGTCTTATATACCGTATCAACTTATATATGGATGGAGGTCGGAAAAATATAACGATTCGACTTATACTTGTGATTTAGACTTTTTAACTTTTTGTAACTATTTAACTTGTTAATTTTTTAACTTTTTGTAACTAGTTAACTCGTTAATTTTTAACCTTTCGTAACTAGTTAACTCATTAATTATTAACTTTTTGTAACTAATTAACTTATTATTTTTTTTAAACTAGTTAACTCGTTAATTTTAAAACTAGTTAACTCGTTATTATTTTTTAAAAACTAGTTAACTCATTAATTTTTTTACTCGTTATTATTTTAAAAAAAAACTAGTTAACTCATTAATTTTTTAACTAGTTAACCAGTTAAGCCAAAATTTGGACTCTGCCCAACTCTGGCTATGGCCTGTACTTGATGCTATAAAAATACGACTGCAGTCCCTTTAAAGAGTTATTGTACTTTGTAACTTGTTACATCACTATTATACAGTTATATAAGTGGAAATAATGGTGGCTGTGGTGTCACGCTTTGTTGAGTAATCTGTAAAGAAGCTTCTAGCATCTTCAATTTTCAAGTCCTGTAATGTCGGTCAGAAGACTTGGTTAAATTGTGCCCATGATATTTTTATTCTGTGTACAGAGCTTTGGGTTTACTTCTATTCCTAAATAATAATAAGAAGAAAATAGAAAGAAAATTTCGATTTTCCTACGATGACATAGTTATGTGGAGAGGTTGTTAAACATACATTATGCAAGAGCTAAATTATTTAACTTATCCAGACCATAATCAACTCTCAATGTCACCGCTAGCCTGCGATATATTTACTGGATTAGGATCTGATCTGCTACTAAACGCTAATTCCTGATTAAATCAAAAAATGGATAATCGAAACTATGTTTTTTTTATTGTGTCGACTTTAGTAATGATGATCAAGGCTAGGCCCAAAATTCAATCGGTAAATTCTCGATTCAGAGTGGATCAATTTGACTGAAATTTTCAGCAAATTCCCTTTACATTATCTAGTGTTTTAACTATTATAGTGAGAACTGCCATCTTTTTATCTGATCTCCCATAATGTATCTTTAAATCAAAATTATATATGATTGGTTTCATTTGATGGCATGATTTGATTTCAAACTGCCAGGTCTTTAGCTAATCTCGCATAATGTATCTTTAAAACTTATTTAGAAGGGACATGGGTTCAATCCTGGTTTTGCTGAAATAATTCCTCAAAATTTTGCTGAGGTGGTGCAGGACGGGAGGGCGTTGCAAGCAACTTCGTCGAATCATTCAGAATGCACGAAAAGACAAGTTCCTTAGTATGCAAAATTCATTAGCCCCCTTTAGTGTAGAAAAGTAGGACCTTAATAAACCCCATTTCATTTTATAAACTCTCTCTCTCTCTCTCTCTCTCTCTCTCTCACAATGTAACTAACGATCTCAATCTCTCTGGGGGAATTCAATAGATTTAAATCCAGTCATAGTCAATTGGTAATTCATCAGACATCGCTCATAACCACAAATATCATAGGACGTGCGTTTACACATGCATGCACAGAATTTAGATGTCTTTTCTTAATATGAATCATAATACGTTATCATAATGGTTATTTGGATAAAACAAAAACCCATCGTCATTACATGATACAACTTTCGGCTACGACTTTTTTTTTTATCCTGTTCCAACAAATTGCAGTAAGTTGATTGATTTATGAAAGATTTGACAACAAAAGATAAATTATCCAGAAAAAAACCTAAAATTCCACAAAACTTAATCAAGGAAACGACAGCCTAACCCAATTACCGACAGAGGCATGGTTTCATCTAACGAGATTCTCTGAATCGAAAATTGGAAAACAATACATTTACTGGATTTTGATTGTAATTACATGTGTGGTGTTGTCAGTTCTGTAGTTAGTGTCGTTTCTTTTGACAGAAACAAGAAAAATCTGCAAGGTCTGAATCGTAACAAAATCACCAACATGCGTCTTCTCAAAATCGGCACAAAAAAAAAATAGTTCTATGTCTTTTCGTATAAAAGGTGAACTGGTATATTTCTCTTTTATTTAATAGTGAGCGTTAAAACATAGTCCCCTATCGTAAAAAGCATTAACAATGTGCAAAACGTCTGAATCGTAACAAACACGGTAAAATTTAGGATGGTGTATAGAGAGTGAGAGAGAAATGGGGTTTAACATCCACTCGACACAAATTAGGTCATTTTGAGACTATTATATATGGTTCAATTTTATTTCAATAATTCCCTTGCGCGTAGGGGCCTTTAGTAGTGGGAGGAAACCAGAGGACCTGATGAAAAAAGCACAAGTTTGAACAGGTGACACTACTTCTTGTCAGGTACAACTGGGGTATCGAAACCATGCAAGTTGACTCAATGACAGACCTTATGATACAGCGCGCACATGCTAACCATTCGGCCATCCACCATCCCCCCAGGATGATGTATAATGTCTCATAAATCCATTACTTCAGTCATTTAACCCTTATCAGTGGTGGGGGACAGAGGGTCTGACAAGGACAGCTGTCTAGTTATTCGGATGGGGAGAAAAACCGAGGTCCCATGTACACATCGGCGTGGACGTAAGAGATCCCTTGGCAGTTGAAGTTTGATATAAGAGTAGGCTGTAGTGCCGCTGCCCGAACAAAATTTCCCTCATAGCACACTGAATGACCAATGCTCGTCTTCATTAGCTCAGTTGGAGTAGAACAGGACATTAAACCCCCATTTCTTTCGATCATTTTAGGACTAATATATGTTTCTTTTTTTTTCAAAGCTTGGGCATGCAATGCAAGAGGGTGAATTTTGTCCAGACAGCTGCATTGTCACTTACCCTTCCTCGAATTCCTATACGAAGGGTTCTTTTCATCAATCTGATTAAAACATAGATCCTATTTCGTTTTGTTTTTTTATAGTTCAAAATTTCGTTTTATTTGTCTGTACTACACTAGGACCTGGAAGAGTTGTAATATAACCTGCGTTCTGGATTGCGTGAGAGATTAGCCAATGAAACCATTCGTTACAGCGACTTCTTGGCCTGCCATGCACTGAACTATGGGTAAACCACTAGAAACCTTCTGATGTCATTGGGTCAAAAGCCACTCGTATGACCCTTGACGTGACCTCCAACTGGTCAGATCTTTATGTAGTATAGGCCATCCAAAGTATAAAAAAACGAAACGAAATATAGATCTGTATTTTAATCATATTGTGTTTTGAGGACTGTTCAAAACCTGTCTTTATTAGGTCTTTTTACGTACATGGCAATGGTAAATTTTATTCAATAATTCCCTTGTGTACAGAGATCTTTATTAGTAATGGGAAAGAAACCCGGATTAACCAATACGCTAGTCATATACAAGCATGTCATGGTAGAAAACATTTCTGATTAACCAATACGCTAGTCATACACGAGCATGTCATGGTAGAAAACATTTCCCAGAACATATATCACTTACACTATGTGTCATTCCCAGAACAGTTTCAAGACCACTGCATTTTGGGGTTTCAGATTGGAACTGTTCTCAGAACGGAACACTCACTTTTATCCTGTGTATGCTACTCATGAGTTTAATGTCCACCCGACACAAACAAGGTCATTTCGGGACAAGGTTGGAAAGGCGACCCGACTACTTGTCACGCACAACCACAACCGGGGAATCGGTTTAAAATCTTAACAAGCTCTGTAACCCGGGTATCATTTTCTTTCACATTCGTTTAATATCAAAATTAAGTACAAATTAAATGATTTGTGGTGATTTTAAACGATTTTTAGTGACTTTAAATTTAAATGAATGTGAAAGAAATTGGGGCTAAATATACCAGATTAAATGATACCCGGGTTACAGTGAAGAGTTATGTACCAAACATATCATTTTAAAAATGAGTGTTTTTCTTACAGAGAGAAAGAGAAATGTGAAATTAAAGATCGTAAGGTATTAGAAATACTACAGAATAAGGATAATAGAATTGAAGAATTATTGAGTAAAATCGAGAAACAGTCAAAACAACTGAAAGAAAGTTTAACAAAGTAAGTCAGAAACATTTGAATTTATTATTTTTTCGTTAATTTTGAACAGTGAAAGCAAAAAGTCTGAAACTGAAAGGGACATAAATACGAGGATTATGAAGATTTAATTGTGAATGTTGGTAAATGTAAAGAAATTACCACTGTTTGTTGTGTTTCTGTACTGAAAAAGTTAATTCCTAGAAAGATAAGATTAAACATACATTATGCAAGAGCTAAATCTGCCTATTGCAGGTCTTTCTTTACGCCTGAAATGTTATCTAAATTATTAATTAAACATTTATTAACATGAAAAGACCTTAATCAACTCTTAATGCCATCTTATGTGTCGGATTGTCACTGGATTTAAATCTGATCTGCTGCTCAACGCTCATTGATAAATGGATAATCAAGACTATGTTTTCATATTACCGACTTTAGTAATGATGACTGAGACTAGGCCAAAAAAATCAATTGCTAATATCCTGGTTCAGAGTGGAGCAATTTGACTGGAATTTTCAGCATATTTCCTTTACATTATCTGGTTTTTAACTATTATAGTGAGAACTATCAGTTCTTTATCTGATCTTCCATAATGTATCTACAATTGTGGTCTGCTTTCCCTTGTTATGTAGGAGAACTGATTTTCAGGCATATAAAGTAGCTCTGGTTTCCCCTCTTCTATAGGGGGGGGGGGGGCGGGGGGTGGATGGCCGAATTTGTTAGCACATGCACGCTGTATCATAAGGTCTGTCATGAGTCAACTGGCGTGGTTTCTTCGATTCCCTGGTTGTACATGACAAAGAGATGGTTCACCTGTCCAACCTTGTGGGTTTTCTCCGTGTCCTCCAGTTTCCTCCCAATGCTAAAGACCCCTACCCGCAATTAAATTATTGAAATAAATTTGGACCATGTGTTAGCCCGAAATGACCTAGTTTGTGTCTAGTGGACGTTAAACCCCATTTCCCTCTCTCCCCCCCCCCTTCTTCTATAGGAGAGCTGATTTTTTAGGAATATACCGGGTAATGTAGCTCTGGTTTTCCTTATTTTATAGAAAAGCTGATTTTCAGGAATATAATGTAACTCTGTTTTCCTTTCTTCTATAGGAGAGTTGATTTTCAGGAAGATAATGGAAGATTGGAAGCTGAACGGAATCATTTACAGGACAAAGTTTCTGCGCTTCAGATCCAGGTAACTTGTTCCTTATATATCCTCTTTTTGGTTTAATTCTCAAATCTTATACAATCATTCCGTTCGATTACCCTCTTTTTACCCTTCAGATACCCTGCTGTAAACAGTAGGAGTAGATACGACTGCATTATTGTTAGTACTGGGTAATGATGATAATAGTTGTATATGACCAAGTCCTATATAATGAAACCCTTCTGTTACCATGCTACCCTTCAGATACCCTGCTGTTAACAGTTGGAGTAGATACGACTGCATTATTGTTAGTACTGGGTAATGATGATAATAGTTGTATATGACCAAGTCCTATATAATGACACCCTTCTGTTACCATGCTTCAGATGGGACGAAAAACCGAGGTCCCGTGTACACATTGGTGTGCACGTAAAAGATCCCTTGGCAGTTGGAATTCGATATAAGCGTAGGCCGTAGTGCCGCTGTCCGGGCAAAATTTCCCTCATAGCACACTGTATGGCGTATGCCCGTCTTCATTAGCCCAGGTTAGGAGCAGAACAGTAGGACGTTAAACCCCATTTCATTTCATTTCATTTCTGTTACCATGCTACCCTTCAGATACCCTGCTGTTAGCAGTAGGAGTAGATACAACTGCATTATTGTTAGTAATGATCATAATAGTTTCTAATATCCTTAAATGACATTTAGAAGTAGAGTTATACTATTCATTATAGCACAACTTTATGGATTTACTACTTCTTGGTTTATTACATACAACATTTCAATACTCTTACAGGTACCTTTATCAAGGCAAAGATACCTGTAAGAGTATTGAAACGTCACATGTTGATACTAGATGTATATGAACCAAGCCTTATATAATAATACCCTTCTGTTATCCTGCTACTCTGTAAAATACCCTGCTACCAATATTAGTAAACAAGTGAATTAAATAAGACTGAGTTATTATTAGTAACGATGAATATAGTTGCACACAACCAAACCTCAACTAATAATACCCTTTCTTTACCCTCCTACTACCCTTCTGATGCCCTCCTGCTACCCTGTAATACTGGCATTGGTAATTATGACTGAGTTGTATATGACCAAATCCCCTGAAATAATACCCTTTCTTTACCCTCCCACTGCCCTCTTTCTACCCTTTAAATACCCTGCTGTAACCAGTATTAGTAAACATGTCTCAGTATTATTAGTAATGATGTATAATAGTTGTATATGACCAAACCTCATATGATAATACCCTTTCTTTACCCTCCTAACCCCCACTACCCTCTTCCTACCCTTTAAATACCCTGCTGTAACCAGTATTATAAAATATGTCTCAGTATTATTAGTAATGATATAATGATATATAATAGTTGTATATGACCAAACCTCATATAATAATACCCTTCCTTTACCACCCCCCCCCCCCCACACACACACACACAGACTACCCTCCCACTACCCTTTAAATACCCTGTAATGTAACCAGTATTAGTAAATATATCCCAGTATTATTAGTAATGATATCTAATAGTTTTATATGACCGGTTCTAATATAATAATACCCTTTCTTTACCCTCCTAACCCCCCCACTACCCTCCCACTACCCTTCAAATACCCTGCTGTAACCAGTATTAGTAACTATGTCCCGGTATTATTAGCAATGATATATAATAGTTTTATATGACTGGTAATTTTCTCCACCTCTCTGAGTCCTCCACACATGTTTAAACACCATACAATGATTTACACCAATAGATAATGTCTCTCTACAAGTTAGATCACTTATTTATCCCCTCCTCGTAAATTCTAGCTTATTGCCATCATAAAAAATACATCCTAATTCAAAAATGTGTTTTTCTCGAGCTGTGTGCATCAACAAATGTTCACCTTATCGTGAGGTCAAGAGAATTAGCTGGTTAGGGTGGCTGATGGCTTCTCACAAACGGCTCCTCGGGGACAAGGGTATAAAAAGAAACGGTCGGATATTCACGTGGCCTATCACTAATGTATGAAGTAATATTCGCACTAGTAAGGTTCAATCAGTTTAGTCTTTAATTTGGTGGCGTGACAAATGACGGAATATTCACCAGAAAATCGTTGTTTTGCTCGTTGACACTGGAGTCTGTGTGTGACTTCCATTATGAATAATTGAAGTACGGGAGGCTTTTAAATGATGTTATGGATAGCTTGCATGTGACAGACCCGGTCCGATCAATTCTCCTGTATAGTAACATCAGCGTCAGTCGTGCTAAGGTTGCAGTTACCAACAATTGCTTCAGCTTGGCTAATTAATTGTCTTCCAAGTAATGCAAATTTTATGGCCTTCTTTTCTCCGTGGATACATCGCAATGGTTATCCTAACTCATTAAATCTTCAATGGTTAAACTTCATGAAAATGACGGAATATGACGATGAATTTTTAATGGGTTTTTTTTTTGCATTAAATATGGATGGAGCTGCGGTCATGGCTGTTGGGTACAATAAAGTTATTCTCCCTTACGCGTATCTTAAGTTAAGAGGTCTTTTTCTCGTTTGGTTTTTGGTGTTCATTTGTTTTTAACATCCTTTGAAAATTAAAGAGAGAGAGATGGGTTTAATGTTCATGCGACACAAACCAGGTCATTTCAGGATTAATTACATATGGTTCAATTGTATTTCAATAATTCGCTTACACGTAGGGGTCTTTAGCAGTGGGAGGAAACTGGAGGACCTGGAGAAAACCCATGAGATTGGACAGGACAAGCGACCCTACTCCTAGTCACATACAACCGGAGAATCGAAACCACACCAGATGTCTCAATAACAGACCTTATAATGCAACGCACACGCACTAACTATTCGGCTATCGGCCTATAAGTAATAGGGTTGGGTAGTTGAGTGGTTGAATACATGTGCTTTAGATTATAAGGTCTGTAATTGAGTCTGTGTTTCAGGACCGGGGGGGGGGGGCTGACAAGGACAGCTGTCTAGTCGAGGTCCCGTGTATACATTGGCATGCACATAAAAGATCTCTTGGCAGTTGGAATTTGATATAAGAATAGGCCGTAGTGCTGCTGCCCAGGCACAATTCCCCTCATAGCACACTGTATGGTGTATGCCTGTCTTCATTAGTCCCAGGGGGGTTGGATGGCTGAATGGTTAGCGTGCGCGCGCTGTATCATTGAGTCGACTGGCAGGGTTTCAAATCCCCAGTTGTACGTGGCAAGGAATAGGGTCGCCTGTCCAACCTCGTGGGTTTTCTCCGGGGCCTCCGGTTTCCTCCCACTGCTAAAGACCCCTACGCGCAAGCGAATTATGTAAATAAAATTAAACCATATGTTAGTCCCGAAATGACCTAGTTTGTGTCGAGTGGACGTTAAACCCCATCTCTCTCTCTCTCTCTTTCATTAGTCCAAATCAAAGCAGAACAGTAGGACGTTAAATTCCATTTCATTTCATTTCTATCATTGAGTCAAGTGGCATGTATGTATGTGACAATGAGTGGGATTGACTGTCCATCCACAGTATCCTCCCACTGCTATATTGAAATAGAATTAAACCATACATGTATATTGTTAGTCCATAAATGACCTAATTTGTTTCAAGTGGAAGTCAAACCCTTTTTCTCACCCTCTCTCTGTAACTAGGTCATTTCGGGACTAACACATGGTTCAATTATATTTCAATAATTCACTTGTCTGAAGGGTTTTTTAGCAGTGGGAGGAAACCGGAGGACCCGGAGAAAACCCATGAGGTTGGACTCTCTGTAAGGAATATCTGTCCTAAAAGATGTCAAGGCTGACCTTATCTTTGTGAGTGTTTATTCTGTCGTATGTATAAATCTCACGGTATCTTCTAGTCGTGTATTGGTGTTAATAAGGTCAAACAAGTTTTTCTTCCCAGGATTCTAATCTATCAGTTCATCTTGTATCGTTTTTTTTTATTTAACTGTTTATAACTAGATGATTTATTGTACTTGTAGTGTTGTAGCGGACACACCTAACAAATCTAGATGTAAGCTCTTCCTCAATAATCTGACTAAAAATAGGGGTGGGAATGAGGGGTGTGTGTGTGTGTGTGGGGGGGGGGGGTAGCAGACACATCTAGATGAAAGCTCATCCTCAACAATCTGGATAAAACTAGCTGTGGGAATAATAATAATAATATTTATTTCTTATTATACGCATTACATTATAAAAACCATCTCAATGCGTAACAAAAACATATAATATGACATAAAAACATATAATATAAACATATAATATGACACAAAAACATATAATAGGACATAAAAAACATATAATGACATAAAAACATATAGTGTGACATAAAAACATATAGTGTGACATAAAAACATATAATATGACATAAAACATATAAAATGACATAAAAACAAAGTAAAAATAAAAGCAATACTAGTGTAAGTGAATCATTCAGAGTAGTGCTCTGGGAAAAGATGTGTTTTGAGGTATTTTTGGAAGGAGTCCAGGGAGGAGACATTGCGAATAGAAAGAGGGAGAGAGTTCCATAATCGAGTGTCAGAATTAGCGAATGCACTGTCATTCCTTCAGGTGACATACGGCAATTAATATTTTGGAACATGTGGTTGGGTGATAGAGAGGGTGGGGACATGGTAGTTAATTTGTTGTATTTGTATAGTTCTAGGGAACACATCTTGAATATCTGGGCCCTTATTCACGAAAACTTAAACTAAGTTACAACCGAAATTTTAAGAAATACTGCAACTTCATAGGATATATGCAAATTGATTTTACTGGTCAGCCAATCGAATTGCAGTATTTCTTAAAATTTCGATTGTATCTTAGTTTAAGTTTTCGTGAATAAGGGCTCTGATTGTTTACTCCACTGGCTTCTCCAACCATTCTGATTAAAACTAGGGGGCCACGGTAGTTAATTTTATGTCATCCTTTGATCTGATGAAAACTAGGTTTTGTTTTTTTATTTTTTTTTTTAAGAGAATACAGTAGTCAATCGAACTGAGGGGCATTGGCGTCTCGACCAGAATGTCTGCCCCGGGTTCTGTTCAGTGTTTACGAAGA